CCTTATGACGCGGCACCCATGCACGTGGTTCTGATACATCTGCCCACAGTGCTGTCAGAAACCGCGCTTGGCTTCAGGCTGACTTAGAGTGACTGATAAACCCCCGATAACCAAAAAAAGGCAGGCATCCATCGAAACCACTGCCGTGGAGAATATTCACCTTCCAAAGGCTGTCGGTGATATCCCGCCGAAGACCACACACCTGTGTAATCCCAAACTAAACAGAAAACTGCCTACGCCTAGGGCAACCACATCCACTCTTAGCCATGGAGCCATATCAGGGGACAACATAATAAGTGGGTTGGAGTGAAGAAGAAAGCTCAAATTATCCGTGAAAATGCACTCATAGTACCGGGTAACGTAGGCATAGATGACCGATCAAGCTCTAGATCCAATCTAACGTTCCTGCCTGCAGTGATAGCCTCCTGGAGCTTGAAGGTACTTTTGGCAGGCAATGGTGTGACTCACTTTGTGTCATGCTAGATCTAGGTAGCCTCGAGACAAAAACCATTTTGACCGTACGAAAGCACCCAGTCACACACAGGGAGAGAGAGACTCCAGGCTTAGCTGTGGACAAGAAATGGTTCCTCTTGCTGTCACAGATTGTCCAGCATTACAGCTAGACCCGACCGATTATGAGCGTCAAGAAAGACGCCTCAAGAAGCTTCTGATCCACAGCGACCCGCGACCACAGTCGTATATAGAATACCTGAACCGGAAACCAGCACCATAGATGATAAGTACGTTTATGACGTCCAACGATGGGGGCTGGTTATCAGCTAGGACGGGGGTAAGTGAGGTTACAGCAGTAGCAGGCCGCAGGCTATCACGCCCACTGCACCTGACTATTATGGCCTCACCTAGATTAGTGACGGTCAACTTAAAATCCTCAGAAGCTCTCCCAACAGTGTCAGAGGAGTGGTATGCAGTCAAGAGCGCCACAAGCAGGAACGTTTACTGTTGCGAAAGCAGATCAAGAGCACCGTGACGGCAGCAAACAGCAGTTGCTCCATATGCTCAGGTCACCATCACCTTTCACCGACACACTGAGAGTCAGACCAGCAGCCCCCACCTAGCACTTACTGCACCGGTGGACCTGGGAAAAAACTTAACCGGGCAGATTTCATTGAAACTGGCCATTTGGTAGAAACCAGCACTACATCCAAATCTGTGCTACCAGTTAACCCAGGGACACCCAAGGCGGCGTGAAACACTTCAAAGTACCTTTACAGCAACATGAGAGGATTCCTAAGTAAAATATTAGAGCTCCAATCTCTCTGCCCCGGCCTTGTTCCGAAAATTATAATTCTGGAGGGAACATAGTTATCACCGGGCGCTAGTGACACGAAGTTAGAATAGATGGCATGTTTTTGTCCAGGAGGAACGAGGGCGAGGTAGCAATATACGTGAACAGTTGGTTCAAAAGTGAACAAACTGCCGTTACTGTATCGATAGAGCTCACGGACTCAAGTTTATATCACTTCATGGTCGAACACTCTAACTGCCTATTTGGAGGAGCCCATAGGTGCCCTAATAGCAACGTGGAACACAGCCAAAAATTACTCCAAATAATATCCACAGTGTTGGCTTTGGGATAGGACCAGATTCTAACAACCGGCGACTTCAGCGCTCAAACTGTCAGCCTAGAGCAAGGCAGCACACCCCCGAGCCGAGAGTTCGATCGTGACCTGCAGAGTTACATCCAGATGGGTGGGCTGTGTGAAAAGAATTAGCGACAATACCCACTGGGGTCAGATAATAAACCATCCAAACTCGATTACCTACAGAGTGGTGATCATCTACTAGCTGAAAACGTCCAGGTTAAAGCTTTTCTTGGAAGCAGAGATCATGCTGTGGTAGTGTTTGACCTGGTAATCAGCGAGCAGTTATCGTAAGAGGTATCCCACCTATACCTCTTTTACAGCAGGGCAAAATACGAGTGAACGAATCAACGCCATCGATAGCTGCGTGACCAGTAGGCTGGCTCTCCTTACCGGTTAACTAGGACGGGAAACTGGTAAGAGACATCTTCAGGACGGCGGTTTCTGAAAACGTCCCCTTGATGGTAACAACACCCTGAAAGAGGACCTCATGGCTCAAACGAGGCACTTAGCGCCTCCCGAAAGTCAAGAGGATAGCATGAGATTATTGAAGGCTGCCCAGAGAAGGGGATGATCGCGACGCGTATGTAGCTGTACGAAGTCGATGCAACATCAGGGTGCGGGTAGACAGCGGGTCGCCCCAGTCCAACCTCCCAGGAAGCTCTAGGTAAATACCAAAACCCATACTGATTCATGGTGAAGGGAAAATTTACAAGATATGGAGCATGTGTCATCAAGAGTCTGAACAGGAAAAACCTCGCTGGGAAAGAGATTGTCGAAGTGTTACACAACGCTTTTGATATCTAGGATTTGTCCTTGTGCGAACCTGACAGACGCAAAGACCAATCACTAATTATTCGGACTTGTCATATACCCACGAGTACGAGACCGAGGAAGAACACGATAGCGTAGTCGGATGGAATAGTATATTTGGATGGTTGTGCCAAGGCACCGATGTTTTCCAACTAACTGGCTAGAGAGTCGAATACGAGCAGTGCAACGTAACACGACAGCGTGCCAAATGGCGTGGATGCTTGACCGGGTGCCTTCAGTTTAGCGAGTCCAGTTAAACCATCAAGGACAGCATCAATGTTGAATCTCGTCAAACCCTATGCTATTGATTTTGATGAAGTGTGTGACGCTGCAGATACACAGCTCAACATTCCATCACAAAAACCTGCATATTCACTGCCAGAACAACCCTCAACGTTATCTAACGCAGCAGTTACACTAAGTACAGATAATTCGTGCTGTCATTCTCGATAAGCTATCAAGCTAAGTGCTGGAAAATTTCTGGGGTGTGACGACATTCGCCCATCTGTGTTGAAAGAATGTGTGATTACCCTAAGTGCCTCACTCTTTAGTCTCTTCCACCAGTCCCTAGACTAGCAAAAAATTTCACGAGAGTGGAAATAAGCCATCCTCTCTCCTATCTTCCAAGGAGACAAGCCAGACCCGAACTGCTACAGACGCACAGCACTTTTACCAGTAATATCAAAAGTTGTGACAAGTATGACAGACGACAGTATCGAGGGATATCTGGACACAAATCAAGCACTCAGTGATACTCATTCTGTCCCTCCAACTTCCTGACAGCCATGACTAATGGACAGCATGCTGGGACCTCAAGATCCCGGTTCACGTGATTTTTCTTGATTTCACCAAACCCTTTGACACCGTCTCACACCATCCTAATACACATAGTAGCTGGATTGAGTATCCGCTGCCATTTGCTATCCTGGCTGCATAACTACTCAGACTGTAGGGAGTTCTGCACTGAAGTCAACTTTGAGAACACCGCCCGGTGTCTCATAAAGAGTAATCCCGGGTCCGTTGTTGTTCCCACTGCTCGTGAATGGCCTCCTTCTGCCGATCAGCTTTCGGATTCTCCTCCACACTGATGGCATCAAGTTTTGTAGGGCACCAGCATGCGAAGCGGAACTAAACGCACTACAGGACGACCTTGAAACACCTGAGTGGGAGGAAATAATGAAATGGTGTCTGGCCTCCATAAACGCTGGTTCATGTTCTTCCGCATCCCTGGTCCACAGAAAGCATCCTGCTCTCTCTATGGTTCACACCTTTCTCACACCGCAGCAGAAAAAAGCCCGTGTTTGATGATGATGGAGAAACCGGACGCCTGTTACACTTCCGTTGGAGGTGCCTCCAAAGCATACGGTGTACTACGCTTTGTTCGCAGACAACTAGGTGCCTTCACTCCGAGTTTATTTTTGAAACTTTACAAGACCCACATAAGACCGCGCTTCGGGGTTCATAACGTCTTCACTCCGCCACAACTGAAAAGAGGGACGAACCAACGGGAGAAAGTTTAGAGGTGACCCACAAAAGGAGTTACTGGGACCCACCAAAAAACATACGAGGATGGATTCAGAGGCCAAGGCCTACACCGTCCTGGTTACCAAAGGTTACAATGTGATTTGATGATGGCCTACACGATACCGAACAACTCAAACCACCATAGCAGAGGAACAATATCAAGTGGCCACCATGGTGATCCCCGCGGGAACCCTAAAAGAGTTGCACGTCAAAGGCCAGAACTCAAAAACCTCCGTTACGTTCACATTTCTTCTCTCTTAGAGTGTGTAGGCACTGAAATGCATTGCCAGCAGTAGTTCCTGGCCCGTCCGCTGAAAGTTCCAAGAAAAGGCTAGAGACCCACGGCTTACGCACATCTAGTGCGGAATACGAACTAGACAGAAGAAATCAAATGCCGCCACACCATTTCATCTGTGTTACCTCCACAAAGGTTTAATTCCTACTGTAATCATTTAAGCCCTTTTCATTCCTTTAACTTGCTATAAATTAGCTTTACCTACCTAGGTTCTTCATATCTTTCCACCCCTCTCGTCTTACTTGGATGTAAGTAGACTACTCCATCAGTTCACTTTTCTATGGCTTTTACTCACACATACTTGTCTTCCTAGGTTATCTCTTCACTATCCCTAACTCCCTGCAAGGACGAGTCCGAAACAGCTGTCTGGCAACTCGATCTCTGAAGAATCCAACTCCTACACAGTCCCAGGAAAACTAACCAACACCCAACCTTCTCTTCTATATACCACAGCTATAACAGACTAGTGGCTAGATCTACTGCATCGGAATCCGTCAAAGGAATGAAACCGTTCACAAAACCAAGAAACCACTACGTAGGAATCAACTGGTTTGCCCAAGCCTGTTTAACAGATATTGGATATGGGACGACAGTCTAGATCTACTGCAGTGGAATCCAACAATGACCTGAGACTATTCAAGAGGACATATTAAAGGGCATAACGAAGTCATTTGGTTGGTATAGGTTTATAAAGGCAATATTGGATATTGGCACATTTCCCTTACTTTTAATGTCTTCTAGTGCTATGACGATCGATTGGAGAAATTATGAATTTCAACTCAAGTGGTGTAAAAATTACCAATGATCAACTCAAAGCTATAGATGAGTATGAGGAGTATAGAAGGTAGTTCTATTCACCAACTGACTTTTTTTAAAACGTTTTAATAGGATTGTTGGAGAGGATGATGGTGGTAAGCTATTCACTCCTGAGCAATATGAAGCCTACAAAACGAAGTATATACCACTGGTTTGTGTAACTTTTATTCAATGATTTATATTAAGAGACGTCAAAACAGGATTTTTGTTTCCTGGACGAATCCAAATGGTGTGGATTGCATACTTCCTGGTCCACAAAGTGAATGCTTTTGTCAGCATCGGTATGCTAGTTTAACATAACTTTTAAATATCGAACGTTGCTAAATTCAGTAAACTGATATATAACTCAGCATACAAAAAATAAAATGTGTGTGGGAGAGATAAATTCTGACTGCGCTGTTCGAAGCCTAGAATGGTTTCAAAATCTCTGAAATTATACTAACCCTGTATAGTATTGGTCATAAAAGTTAGGCCAGTACTCAGGGAAGAGCTGTAAGGCTTCAAGAATTTTTTTATCGAGAGTTTCCTCTTAGTGCGAAGCAAAATTAGTTCATGCATGTCATATGAACCTTGAGCTAGTCTGCGAAGTGTGATATGTTAATGAGAATAACTCTAACAACTTCGAAACTCTGTCGTAGTTCATCAGTAACTTCCATCTCTAAGGATTCCATAAATGTCGTCAAAATACTCGTTCATTTTAACTTGCCAATGAAAACAACCTTTATTACGAAAGAGTCTATTCGATGGCTATGCCAGAAACAGAATTTAGTAAGGTCTAGTAATTCAGTGAAAAGGATCGTAGCTACTCCCCACTGTTAATTTTCATAGAAGTTATCTCTGCGAACTTCCTGTTTTACCGAATGCGATCACTGGATGAACTGCTTCCACTTGTCCTTACAGAACTGGTACTCGACTTCTGGTGTATCCGCTTTCGTGTTGAAGCATCTTTTGAAGACCCAGGTGCAGTGATCTAAATGTCTCCTTACGCGCGTGGAGCACAGAATCCCAAACATCTCATCAAAGCACTTCACTACTCTACAAAGCGACCAAAGCATACGAGAAGCTTCAGTTGCAGAAATATTGCAAGCAGCAATGTTTTTTATTCATGACTAATAACAACACCTGAGTCTTTTGTTCCAAAACCTGAGTTATTAATTGGTCATCATTTGAGTAGCCACCAGAAAAATCACTTTTTTGGAGTTGATTTCCAGGTTTTATCGTGTAGACCACTCAGCCAGTTCCTCAAAATCATCTTGGAGTCCAGAACTTTCATCATCAATATAGATGGTCCTCCATATTTTTCTGTCATCATCAAGCATCAGTGTTGATGACTCAAACATTCTCTGTATTTCATTGGCGTAAGGAAGAAAAGGCAGCGATCGAAAGGTAGTGCCCTGCGGAAGACAGCTGGTATCAGTTTGCTACTCACACAGTATTCCACTGGCTTTTTCTCTTTGCCATCGCTCCTGTAAGTATTCCTTGATCTAGGCATGAACCGTAATGCTAATATCGAATGTGCGAAGTTAATTCAACAACCCCACGTGTGATACTTTGTCGGAAGCCTTGATGAAGTCAATACATACCACATCTACTGGGAGTTTGTCGTTTCTAGTTTTAACGCAGTGCTCCCATGCCAGATGTGGGTTTGGCAAGTAATAGGATCCAGCCAGGAAGACATGTTGCTACTCTGTCAGTAAGTTGTGATTATAGGTGCTTGTGTATCTCATGACACATTATATTTTTCATTATCTAAACTACGATACTAGTAAAACTGAAAGGTTGGTAAGTGATAGCCGGTCGTCTGTCACCTTATGTAAACACAAGACTTACTATTGCATCCATCCAATCCTTAGGTTGCTGTGTTCGATATAAGGATAAGTTGAATGACACAGTTAAGGGTGTATATATAATATAACCCAACAGAAGCAAAATCTTAGGACGTAGTCTTTTCGAGCTGGGTGGCTTTCCAGGCCTTAAGTTTCTGAGCCACCTGAAGATCGTCTTCTTTGCTATTTCAAGAGTTACCATTAGAAGAGCATTTGAAACACTAACAGTGTCTAGAACGACGTCAAAATTGTCGGTAAAAAATGCTAGACTAAAATAATTAGGTGAATTATCTGCTTTGGCCAGGTCTGGTACTGCCACATCTTTCGCCTCCCTGCATGGTGAGAGAGCAGGAATATGAAACAGGGAGAATCAACGTAGAACGTCGCACACAAATGCATCGGTTCACGTTGCTACACTTCACAGTAGTACAGAATAACAGGATAGAATAGGAGTTTTATCAAACTAGTTGAGGCTGTGTGAAAGAATAAACAATCTAAAGATTACGTTAATGCAAATGTTCAAGCTTTAGATGTCAAATAGTGAGTACATCTGCACTACGGCTACCGATTTTCAGATATGTAATCAAGAGTTCCAAACCGATGGTTCCTATCGTCTCAGGGATCCCAACCAAAAACCATACAGGGCACAGACTAACAACCAGGGACTTTATGGACGGGTGCCACATCTTGGTCTGGCCACTTTTAATCGTTTTACAACCTAGTCCAACTTCCCCTAGCATAGCATGGAGTTCGAACTTTGAAAGCTCAAACACCAAATCAATGGTAGGGTTTAGAAGACCAGGAATGAGCTTTCGACGGCTTTGATCATTGACAATGGCTGCAGATTGAGAGGTTGGGGAAGGTGTAAGAGGTCCAATATTAGTATTAGGAGGTGAAGTCAAAGGAGGAGACAGAGTTGAGGTGGGCGGTTTATGTTTGATTGGGTCTTGTGCACCATTGGAAGCGTGCGGGGGCTTGAGACTTCCCGGCCGCCCGCACTATGGAAGGCTATTTCTTCTTGAGATACCTAAAAGAGAGGAAGATTTGTACAACCATAGAGCCTATGGGACACCTGTTTGAGGCCTGTCACACACTACCTTTCTCAGGTTGCTTTGAGGTTTGGTTGTTCTAACGCCGGATAGAGAAAACCTATACCATGAGCACTGGAAGGCTACAAGGAAGGGCGTAGTGTGCTATTTTTGGGGCCGACTTTTTTTAACCGCAACTTTTCATAGGTAAACAGCATCAGCGTGCCACTGCTGGTCATCCGAGAGAAAACATTACTCCATCCAGCCAACAGTAAGACTTCGCCCTCAAACCCCCCATCATAATATGGTAATTTACAACACGATGATAACTGCCTTTCGTCTTACCACTATCCAACAGACTTTTCAGGCATAGTGATACCCCTAGAGGACAAGTGTTCCACCACTATAGCTCAATGGGCCATTGTGATAGACTAGCCTGACCACTACGTCAAGGTAGCAGCTATCGGTCAAGTATAGACATGATCAAGTGAAATATTAGAAGAGACAGAAGCGTTCTTGGATTTTTTGGAGTAGACTACTTTTACCTATATATTTGACCTCGCAATCGTTGCAAGGGATTTGGTAAACGAAGTTATTCTGCTTAATTGGATCAATAGGATCTTTTAACCTACAAAGCTTATTTCGAAGTGAGTTTTTAAATGCCACTCTAATCCCAGCCATATTGAAAATTCTACCTAGTGTTTCTGAGGTGCCTTCTTTGTATGATAATACTGTGAAGGTTTTGAATTCTCTATTCACAGTATTGTCGCTAATACTATTACTATTATTGTTGTTGTTATTATTACTATTAATAACTGTGTTACTGATATTTTTCTTACAAATCCTAAGGAGCTTATGAATTAATTTGGAAGGGTAATTGTTGATGATTAAGGCGTTTTTAGTGTATCTGGTTTCTTGTTTTAGATCTTCTATTTTACTAGTAGGTTTTTGGGCCCTGTTACTTAGACACTTTACCAAGCCAACTCTAACTGACATAGCGTGAAACGATTTGAAGTCTAAGTAACGATTTGAATGTGAAGGTTTCCTGTAGACATTAGTGTCTAAACTTCCTTCTTGTTTCTGTTTTACCCGCAATCCAACATCGTCAATTCTCCTTCGCTATTTTCTAATTCATAGGTGAATTGGATTGCGTTGACTACTGAATTTATATGTGAAGAAATTATGTATGTGTTGCTATTTCAACACTTTAAACGTGTCGTCTACATAGTGAAACCATACTTTTAGAGCCAGACTAAATTTTTCTACAGCCATCTGTTCCCACCTATCTATACATATGTCAGCCACAATAGAGGATATTGATGATCCCATGGCAACTCCTTCTGTTTGTTTATATATTTTATTCTGAAACCTAAATATTGTGGAAGTTAGGCATAGCTGAGAGAGAGAAGCAGACAAATACCAATGTAGTATTCGGTATGATATGCTTGTGAGCCATAAATTGTGCTGGAAACTTCATCTAGTAGACAACACCGTTTTACTGCATGCTGTATGAAATAAACTATTGCACTGCTCCAATTCTACTCTCGCATGGAGTAATTCATCAACCTTCAGGAAAAGTCACTTAAAGTATTTGTTCTATAGCATAAAATTTTCAATCGAATTAAAGTAAACTTCAAGATTACGAATTTCTCCTGAAAAGCGATTTATGTAATACAAACAACTATTATTCATTTCAGTTCATTATCAATTGCGTCAGTATCCCATCAACATACAGTGGAGTTCACTGGATAAGTTGAAGAATGATAGACAGACAGACGAAAGAAATCAGCATTGAACGTTACACATAAGTGCTTCAATTCAGGTTGCCACATTTCACAGTAGTACAGGTGGATATAATAAGGATGATATCAAAGTAGATAAAGGTGTATGAGAGGAGAAGGAATTTGCAAGTCAAGGTTAATGGGTAATGTTCTAGTGGTAAATATATCTGCTCCATTGTAATCGATTTTCAGCCATGACACCCAGCGCCTTCACCTACTGACTCTTAGGGCCTCAAAGACTCCAACCAGGCAGTTTACACCTTCTTATGCCGGTCACAAGAACAGTCAAAGATTTCATTGACTTATGCCATTTCTCGTTTTGACCACACCAAGCCTCCTTTGAACCTGCTGTTACCAGTGCACATCTATTTAATTAGTGAATCGGCATGCGCAGCACATGTCCAAGCCACTTCAGTCTCTGAAAGTTCACAACCTCATCAATTAAATTGCCTGCCTCGTCTAGTACCATTCGCCTGACTTTGACGTTGCTAACATGGTGATTAGTCGAAAACCTATGACTGCTTCATATCTGTTTCTAACGACCATGTCTCATAGCCATATAACGGAACAAAACGGAAGAAAAGGCTATTGAACAATGGAATATACCGAAATGGCATGAAAGTGTTGTGTACCAGTATTTGTTGGTTACAAAATGACACTTGACTTAGACCTCCTGCACTGATTTACCTTTCTTTAACTGAATTATGTGAACTGTATATGACCTAGAGAATTTGATGACTTGAAATAACTGATTTTATTGAAGGTTTGAAATATTTATGTTAACTTTGTTTGTAAGTCGTTTTTTTTTAAAGCAACCTTCTACAAGTGGAATTGTATCGCATGAATTTACAAACTCCATATAAAACGATTGGGTATTTAGTTTGTAACGGTTCCAACTACCGACGTTTTTGAAAACAAACAGTATGGTAAACACAAATACAAAATGTTTCACTTATGGATATAGACTCATGGATGACATATAAATTGTCGTTGAATTTTAAACCGATTACTATTGAATTCCTATAATAACATGTATTTCTTCACTATATTTCTTTTTTACAGCCTTATACAACATAAAACAGATTTTGAAACGGTACCTACAGAACGTCCTATACCTTTACCATGTAAACACTGTAAATGTTCAAGTTTTCATGTGATGCCAAAGTTTGGAAGTCAAATAGCCCGTTGTCATTGTAAACATTATGCTACAGATCATAGTATGGTTAGTTTGACAAAAAAAGGTTCTTTTTACACAATTATCATAATTACAAGGATATATTTTGATATAATCCCAGCGTGTTTAACAACAACATTATCAACCAAGCGAATAAAACAGCAAATACTACTGCTAATAGTAATAAAGGTACAACAAAACCATAGGTGTCGTCTATGACGATGTCATATCGGAAAGGTACTTCTGAACAGATTAAAAGAGAATGCGGTTCGCATGGTATTAAAGTTTGTTTTAAACTTTCAAATTCATTAGAAAAGATTTTAGTTAAAGTGAAGCATGCTATTCCTAAAATGATGCAGAACAACTGTGTCTACAAAATTCAGTGCTTGGAATATGAAGCTAATTATGTTGGAGGGAGTTTTAGACCCTTAAAACATAGGGTGATTAGATACAAAACATCCAGCGAGGAATTAAGATGAATTAAAAAAGATTTAGAAAATCGATCAGCAATGGCTGTGGATGTAGTTGAAAGTGGATACATGATTAGCAATGAGAATGTAGACATATTTGGATGGGGTTTCCATTCACATGAAGAAAGATTAACCTCAAAGACTCTGTATGCTTTAACAATATCAAATGTTATAAACAGAAAAGTGGGAATAGACTTGTCACCTATTTGGCAAACATTAATCTGACAAAATCATTAGTCCAGTTTGAAGGTTTGTGGAGATTTGTTAATTGGTTTCAAGCTGGAATTCATCATGAACTGACATCAGTTGGAGGAATATTGAAAAACTGGAAGCACTAAATAGCTGTTTTATCCCATTATGGGGCTCCTTAGAAGTGCGCATCTACTAACTCACCAGAGATCTAACTCAAAACGTTCAGTTTCTGCAGACAGAACGTTACCCTTGAGCCAGTGTGTCGAGTCAAATAGTTCATACTGCGCGATATAGTGCCGTCGCTGAGTAACTGTCCTCATTTCCGACTTGGTTGGCTCCACAGGTCACGGCTCCTGATTGGAACTTTGAGAATCAATTCTCGAAGCTAGTCGCCGATGAGCACTAAACTAATTCAATTTTGAGGTTTGGAGAGATTTATTAATTTATTTCAGGTTGGAATTCATCATTGGTGATAGCCTTTTCTCATTGAAGCTACAATAACAACGACAATCATTGACCGTTCATCAGTGAAAATATAATAAACAACACGTATTCTACAACATACGTAAACCCACACACGCTTTGACTCTGCTACCTTTTTCGTTTACCAATGACAATGACAAGTATGAACTTGTAATGATCAGGATGGACAGAAAAGTCACCTAACCAATTATTTATTTATTATTATATTATTTGTCCCTTGGGTTCCTAGTGGAACATAAGGCTTCAGTAGCACGTCTGCAGTACAATTTGTTCTCTGCAATCTTTTGAACCTGGCTCCATGACTACCCAGAAGCTCTCATTTCTTCCTCATACGATCTCTTCCATGTCATCCTCGGACGCCCAACTCGCCGTTTCCCATCTGGGTTCCACTCAGGGAACTGGCGTGGCACATGATGTCCCCGAATGGTCTTCTCAGTGTATGCCCAATCCATCTCCACTTCCTTCTTCTACATATTTGTTTAGCGATAGGTTCTTGGTCGGTTCGTTGCCAACCAGCCAGACTTCCTTGTTGCTTATTCTCATTATTCTGGCCATCTGATCTTCAGTGACGAGCCAGCGTATGTGGCAGTTTTTGATGAATGTCTGTAGTTTGTTGGAAGTGCCTTTCATGAAGCACCAAGTCTCTGAAGCATATAGAAGCACTGGCTTGACGTTGGTGTTGAAAATCCGGATGTTCTTCACGCTTTATGCTGAGTGGAGTAGATCTCCACACTGGTTTCAGGTTAATGAACACCTGTCTTACTATTCCGATCCTGGCTTTGACGTTCTCGTATGTGCCGCCTGTAGTTGAAACAGTGCTACCTAGGTAGGTGAAAGAGGCTGCTTCCTTTTAGTTTCTTCCGTTGATGGTGTTTGTTGTTGGTGTTGTTGGTTGGGCATCATCATCACCTCTGTCTTCTCTACATTTACCTGAAGTCCTGTCTTCGCTGCCCTGCCTCTTCTGTCAACTTGTTAGTTTTCACCTGTAGATCTTCGAGTTTGTGTGACATTAGACACAAGTTATCGGAGAAATCCAAATCTTCTAGGTTTTTTTCCCCGGTCCAGCGTGTGCCCCTCTTCTAGCTCCTCATTGTTTGTTGCATGATCCAGTCGAATCCACCACAATCAGGAAGATGATCAGTGATAGTAGGCGACAGCCTTGTCTTAATCCTGTCTTCACTTGAAAGGTGTCACTAAGCTCTCCACTGTGAATTACTTGGCATGTGGCGTCTTCATATAGTTGCTGACTGAGGTTGATAAAGGTTTGTGGTATTCCGTAGTGTTGAAACAGTTGCCAAATTGAGCGACCGACGCTGTCAAAGGCCTTTTCAAAGTCTTTGAAGTTGAGGTTCAGTTGAGTTGACTGCCATTCTATGCTCTGTTTTGTGATGATGCGAAGCGTTGCAATTTGGTCCGCACATGATTTGTACTTCTTGATGCCAGCAAGCCTGTTCCGGTAGGAGTTTTGAATCCAGTGCATCCTTTAGTCTCTCCAGTATGGTGCGGCTTAATATTTTGCTTGCTCTGGGTGGACAGGAGCATGATTCCTCACCAGTTCTTGCAAAGACTTAGGTTGCCCTTCTTTAGGAGTTTGACAAGGTACGCCTAACCAATAATCTACATTAACTAAATATTTGATATATCATTCGACTATATATTTTGACGGGGTGAGACTAAATGTCATTTCCGGTTGTTGCAAAGTTCTATGTGAAATCGAGTACTTCTCGTTTTCTCTGTCGATATATTTTGAAGTGAGAACTTCAATCTTAAATCCCTTTCGCAGCAATTCAAAGCCTCATTTAACTCATTTTGATTTGTGAACAACATTCATCCTGAGTAAACGTACCTGCTATTCACCTATAAAGTAAAAGTGCATCCAATAACCTTCACATGAGCAAACGGTATGAAACACGATTTAATGGGAAATGGCATTTTAAGAACTATGCAAATAGGTAAAATATTCATGCAGGACATAGAAACTACGCAAACGTGAGCACGGTGGCACATGGGGATGACTTTTAGCCCCACCCATTTTGACGTCAATGAAAATTCGCATATTCAGCTATAGCTTACATAGAGAAACGTTAAAATAAAAGAATAAAGCTAAACACGCTGACAGTTGTTTGTGCACGGTCTTACTTCAAAATCGGCAATTTTTAGACCTCAGACAGAGGTACACACGAAATCCTTAAACTCTTAAACAAAAATAATGAAGTTTTTATTGTCTGGGTGATAGAGTAAATAAGGATTATGACCAGAGCAATTATATATTGCTTGAAAGTGACTAGTACTGGAATTGAAGACTCGAGTTCATCCCAGTTGCGGCTCATCAGCCTCCCAGTGGGTGATGGTGTTCCGACTGCAGCTGGGACCGAAACTCCGTTACTTCAAACTCTAGATCATGCATTCAGCTGACAAGTCTTAAATAGAACGAAGTAGGCATTCTGGATTCCACTACTCGTTACCACCAAGAAAATTAAATCATAAAAGGTTTTCAGGTATTATCGAAGCATCCGCATAGTGGCCAATATGCTAACAGAGACTGAATACTTTAATACAGTAAAACAACAGGAAATCACAAGTACCAAAAGTTACAACTGAATAATAACAGATACAACCTTTAAGAATGGCACTTCTATGGAGGAAAACTATAGAATCTAGAATGAGCGTTTCATCCATGATTATCAAACTTGACAATGCAAACAGTATCAAGGCATTCGCATAGAAGCCAATATGAGAAAAGAGATCGATGTCTTCGGTCCAATCATCGAGGTGATGATACTAACAACATCACATAAACTGTACCCATTCCACTGGAAGCGGTTGTTGTGATTCTGTGGTCTACTAGATGACGCTGTATCATCTGAAGTAGTCGATTTTGATTTCAAGTCTTAGTGGTGACATTATCAGTCATAAAGAGGCAGGTACCGCCGACTGACTGACATGTTCTAAATAGGAGGGAATAAGCTTCCTAGATTTCACTGTCTACTACTATCCTTCTTTTAACTAAAAAATTTCACACTTAAGGATACTACTGATGATAATTACTACTAACATACATTTGTAGTTCAATTTGAAAATACCTTTCATATTTCTTTTTGTCAGAGATTGATAAACGTTTTCAATAGTTATCACCTCTGTAGCAGTCCATTAATAACTTAACTAATCAAATCAGTACACATATATCACTTAATGTACATTTTTAAACTGATTGTATGGAGAGATTAATGTGTATGGTGTTTCGCCATCGAATTATTAATGGGAAATGAAATGAGTAGTGGAAATTATGCTTATCTTCAAACTAATCTATATCTGTGTTACAAAGTCTGTTTCATCTGACTCACACTAGCTAAAAACACAGATTATCTTTTAGGTTAAATGATAGTTGATGCATTAAAATTCTGATTTCGAGGTTTAAATGTATACCTATTCTGATTTGCTTGAGATTGGTCACCGCTATTCATCAATTTCATGTTCAGTTGAATGGTTACATTGAAGAATGTTTTAAATTGGTGACCTTCAGAGGATAAATTTCTTCACTCGAGTAACTACTGCTAACCACCAGTCGGAAAAACTGAACGAAACAGATGCCTACATCATCAGGCTACTTGTCGTAGAATAGAAACTGTCCAAGACTGCAAAGAGATAAATCAAATTACAACTTGGCACAAATTCATACCGAATCCAGTGACCGCACATCACAAGAAGAGCACAGAAGAGGTTGGTGATGATATGATCGACATAACGTGGAGAGGATTAATGAATGTAGGCCAATGAAAATACTCAAAACTTCTAATGTGATAGTGAGTATGTACATCCACATACCTTTGACTGATTTCCAACCATATGATCACAAGTATTCAACTGTTGGTTTTCATCATCTCAAAGACCACAGTCAAGCAGTCTTCACCATCTTATACTGCTGAAACTCACAGCAATCGACGATATGTACTGGTGCCACTGCCACAACACTTCTACCTCAATAACACTTGGCTAACACTCCACGTCATTGAAAAAAACAAACACCAAACCACAGTAAGAAGAAGTTCATTTCCTAACACATTCCAATGAGAGTCAGCTAATGATACTGGGAAAATATCGTCTCTTCATTTCACACACAATGACTTCATGTTCATCTACTTTGAAAACATTCACATTTTGAGTTATTTCACTTCTGTTACTAGTCAGCGATATGCTTGTTCTTCTCTGTTGTTTTATTGACATTTGAATCTATGGTTGTGAGGTCCGAGTCTCAGTGGGAACAACATGACTGCGCACTCGGGTGCAGGTATCTCCATGTGAACAGTATTAGGGGATGACGAAACTCGCATCCTCGATTATTTCGCTTCCCTCCAACAAACCGAATTATCATTTCATTTTCACTTCTCGAAATTCTCAATTTTTACAAAATATCCCACCTATCACAACACTTGATATCAGTGACATACATCATTATCTTATGAAGGCTAGTCGACTAGAAATCAGGAATCTGGTGAACAGCTGCATACATTTGTGAAGAATTAAGTACTTTATCAGATAGTTAAATATGTAATGTGTAAAACTTGTTGTTTTCAACAAGTGATATTGAAAGAGGAGAATGAGGTAAGGATTTGACTGAAATACTTTCAATAACCAAGATCAGTTCCATACTCTTACTTGCCTGTCAGCAGGCATGTTACAGTTCACTGTTCATCCCTCTCACACTGCACTCAGCAATTTAGAGTTTAGTTGGTTCAGTTTTGAATCTGAAATCTGATCATTATAGTGTTTGTCAACAGTAATGTTCACTAAAATCTTGAGATGAAACAACGTTGCGCCTCAGTCACACAGGAGCATTTACGTGTTGCAATTCACCAACTACCTTCATTGTTGCCTTCAGTCGACAACTGTATTCGATCATTCATATGTTGTGTACTACAAGAATGGTATAGAATTTTACCATAATTGTCAGTCAGAATGTTGGGGAATTGCATTGTTTTGTGAATATTCACTGGAACACAAAAGTTGTTCGAATTCTTCTCACATACTGACACTCAAGCAGCATGTAGACTTATTCACTCTTCAGGTAAAATATTCGACATCAACAATGTCTACAAACAAGTGTATTGTAAGAATGGAATTTGAAAATGGATAGTGGAGAATGTTTGACAGAGGATATTTTCCACAAATGCATCGAATCAGAACATATTAGATCATGCCAATTGGGGTAAATATTGTGCATTGTTTTCATTTGATTCGGAGACGACGGAGGTTTCGAGATGAGTCACTCAGTCTCTTCAACGATATCGTTCTCATGTTGTTGTACAATGGTAATATAAATATTCTATTCACATGGTAATGGAAGAGGAATGTTTGATGAAGGAATATTTTTGAATGAAATTCAGTTTTGCTGATGAATTGGGAGATGTGAGTAAGAATTGCATGATGATTAGCATGGTGATGCTGAGTATACTTGTGAAGATGGATCCAGTATTTGGTTACTGACTTAGTTAATAGGACTGGTGAATGTTATGATGAATCTAAATTATATGGATGTAAGAATTCGATGTATCTATTTTATTTGTGCATTGAACTTTCTCTAGCGACTGAATTAGTTTTTCTTGGTTGGGTCTCTAGCCCTATTAGCAGACTTTCCTCCTTATCCGGGCTTAGGACCGGCTAGTATCTAGTGAACTAGTTAACTGCGCATGGTTTAGTCTCGCGAAGCACCAACTTAAAGATCATGCAACAAACTATGAGGAGAGAGAAATGGGGAGTTAGCTGTTTGACCGATCATGAGACCCTAGGAGATGTAGATTTCGGCAATGATGATTTGTGTCTGCTGTTGCACAAACTCAAAATTCTACAGGCAATTACCAACAAGTTGACAGAAGAGATAGCGAAGGAAGACGGAAATTCAAGTGAGCGTGTAGAAGACAGAAGTGATGAAGATACCTAACCAACAACAGCAACAACTACCTGAACCTATCACCCAACAAATATGCAGAAGAAAGTGGAGATGGATTCAACTGGGCATAGACTGAGAAGACTATTCGGGGACGCCATGCGTCAAACCAATCTCTCATAGTGGAAGCGAAAGAGGAAACGACGATTTGGGCCTGCGAAAGTGATCACACAGTGGAGATCATGTGAGGAAGAAATGAAAACTTATGGGTAGTCGTTGAGCCAGGTATAAAAGATTGCAGTGAAGAGAGTGAAATGGCAGTTCTACTGAAGCCCTATTTTCCAATAGGAACCCAAGGAACAAAGTAATAATAGTAATAATACTAAGGATTTGATGTGTTGGATGATGCGAGAGAGAAACATTTCGATGATGAAATGATCATATAGGACATGTTGTCTGCATCTCAAATTACTAAATCGACTTCTTTTGAGTATAGAGTTCAAGTTTCAAGATATTAATTTTCATGGCTTCTGGATTTGAAGGAGTTTTTATGCGTTTAATTGTTACAAGGTTCTTCATACTCGACTAGATGTTGTGAAATAGAGTTTTGGTTTACGCTACTTTTTTCATTGTGGAAACAGGCTGGCATATTTTTATAAATTTGTTTAGAGGGATAACGTTGAGTACGCCCAATATACGTAACTCCACAGTAGGTGAAGGGAACTAGTTTAACTTTTGCGTATAACTAAAGCACTTGGTAAGTACAGAAAGTTGTCTGAGTTTAGAAGTATGGAAAGTCTTTGTAAGTGTACACACAGGTTGGTTTCTAAGTCTATCACCTAACTGGGTCCCTGCTGAACTCTAAGCTGATGACAAGAGGCTTTTAAGGAGCCGTAGAGTTACAACAGTTATTTGATCTTAGTCTCAGTTAAAGTGGTCTTGAAAAAATTATGTTCATTTTCCCAAGTTTCAGGTCTGCACATAGTTTGTATTCTATGGCAAAGAGCGAATGAGATTCCTTTTATTTCATACAGGTATCGAACCAAGAAAATTCGTAAGTTATCCACCTCGCTTGGGTTTTCTGTGGATAGTTCATGAGACTGATGTATTGCCTAGTATTTCAAATTTTGAACTGTGAAACACTTAAAAACTGTACTATCTCGCAGTTTTTGTTACTAAAATACTGTGAAACTTGAAGTAGACAAAAATATGATGGTGATCCGGTACAAGTGATTTATATTTTAGGCGCTATAACTGACATAGAGAATGTTTAATTCACTTCAAACAATTTGATGATAGTAGTCAGTCGAAGTACAGCAATACATTCTTTTGTTAGGATTTATTTCCAATATGAGAGTAAAACTTGGGCATTGCCGTCTATTGTAATTCCATTTTAGTCTGTTTATAAGAAATATAACACACTGAACAAACAGTAGCATTAACTGGATAACCTATCCGACACAATTTATTGTCCATATTCATATCACGAAGCCAACTCAACAACTTCCAGAAACACTTCAGATATTCCTAATTGTCTCTCCTTCTCTGTCATGACAACGGTAGTAGAATTCACCATATATCTGGGACAGGTGCACAATCATTTCCATCACTGCATGTGTTTCCTGTTGATTCCATAGATAAACAGAGATTCGGTTATCAGTCTCCTCCTACCTACACACAACCAAGTTAGTTTTCAACACTGTCGCCTTATCCCACCACATTATGTGATTGTGTGTCATCGCATTCACAACTACTACGATCTACTCATATTGATTTAGTTAGGTTTTTGTGCTCTGTCATTCTCATCGATCCTGACTAGTCGACTGCTTTGACCAACTTATGTACTTCACTTCACAATCATTCCAACGCATCTATCTGGTAAACCAGATTATTCTGCTTAATTGCATCGATAGGATCCTCTAACCTATAAAGCTTGTTTCTAAGTGAGTTTGTTGGTTTGAATACCAGCCACTTGAATCCTAGCCAGCCTCAATGAGAATTCTTCATAATGCTTCTCAGGCGCCTTCCTTGTATGGTAACACAGTAAAGGCTTTCAATTCTCTCTTAACCCTGTCACCATTACTACCATTATTAGTGGAATTATGATAAACAACACTTGTATTACTACTACTACCACTGCTAACACTTTTGTTTCGATTTCTAATGAATTTATTGATAAATTTTGGTGGTTAATTGTTGAGACGTGGGGTATTCTTGATGTGTCTAATTTCTCGTCACAGATTTTCAAATCTACTTACTAGTTAGCTATTTCGCTGTATCACTCAAGCATTTAACTAAGCCTACTTTAACTGAATGGGATGAGTGGGATGATTCGAAGTGTAATTAGTGATTCGAATGGATGGAGTTCCTTTAGACACTAGTCTGCAAACTTCCTCCTTGTGTTCATTTAATCTTGCAATCCAACATTGCTAGCTCACCTCCTTCACTCTCGACGTCACAGGTGAATTGGATTGTATTCACTATTGAATTTATATGTGTCAGGAACCTGATGATGTGTTGCTACGTCAGTACTGTGAATGTGTCATCTATATATCGGAACCATATCTTTGGAGTAGTTGTAACATGTTTGAAGAGCCACCTGTTCCCGACTATCGATAAATATGTTAGTGACGATAGGGGATATTTGTGATGTCATGGCAACGCGTTTGTCATGACAGAGAAGGAGAGGAAATTCGGAATATGTAAAGTGTGTCTGGAAGTTGTTGAGTTGTCTTCGTGATATGAATATGGACAATAAGATGTGTCGGAAATGTTATCCAGTAAATTTTACTGTTTGTTCACTGTGTTTTATTTTTGAAATAAACGGACTAAAATGGATTTATTTCGAATGTCACTGAATAATAATTCTAGGTTTTTTGTTGATTTCATCATCTGTTCTATATCATTCCACTTACTTCATTGGACTTTTTGTGACTTCAAGTTGATGACACCATTTAACTTCTGGTTAGTGTTGCTAATCACCTTCATTCACCTCAAGTTACAATTATGCAGAGTTTCCTGAACAACTTCACGTAGATTGAACATGTGTTGTACCTACCAACCGACCACTTGCTTTAAAGTACAATGTTAGCAGAAGTTAGATTGTTTAGAAGACACGACATCAGTGTATGAAGTCCCTGACTGTCGATCTGAGCCACTAAGTGAGGTGTAGACAACCGTGTTGGGATTCTCGAGACAACTGATGACTTTTAATGAAATACCTGAAAATCATCCATGGTGGCTTAGACATATTCACTAAAGCCTGAATGTTTTGATTCCCCGAAATGTTTAAATTACCTCTCCTGTCATACACCTATTTCATTCGTGACATCAGTCGCTTTTATCCACCTGTTGCTTGCATACCACTGTGAGTTGTGGCAAAGTGAACAGATTCACTTCTGTGCTACGTTCTAGGTTGATTTTTTCCATCAATGGTAAAAGGTAAACACCTAATGTTAACCTATTTCTGATGCTTACAAAATCTTCCCGTTATAAGGTTAAATGGTAATATCTTTTAAAAGTATTATATGCATTGTAAAAGTAGTATTGATATTAGTGATAAATAATGGCTAACAATTGAATGCAAGACGTATATTTCCTCCTGTTTGTGATTCGTGATGTTGTTCCCACTAAGACTTGAGCCTAAGGTTGATCTCTTTAAATGCCAGAAGCGTTTTCCACTAAGCAACTGGATCATAATAGGCAGTCCCCAGTGCGAAAAATGTAGCATAGCTTCCATAATTCAGTGTGCATATCTCCGTTATTGGTTGGCTGTTGTAACCCAGTGCCTTTCGAAACGATTGATCCTACTATTTAGGTCTTTTAATAGGGATAGTGTCATTCATTGAAAGGCATGTCAACTAGTTGACTAGTTCCAAGTTGGATGAAAAGTACTTCCTGTATTCCACTGCTAGGCTTACTGTGAATGTTTGCAGAAATATGAACATAAAATAACTGTTATATATAATACTTTCCTTATTTTCTGCTTTTGTATTGATGAAAATAGGAGATTTATTGAGTCCTTTATAAAAACAAATAAACAAACAAACAAACAAAGTAGCTGAATAATGAAATCAACGCAGTAGAAATCTATCAATTTTTTTTTAATCTTTCTCTTTGATTTTCTTTCTCTCTTTCTCTGGTTCATCAGCCAGTCTTTAGCACTTCATTTATTACTTAATTCCAAGGGAAATATTTTGTCTATTTTACCTTTTTTGTTTATTCAATTTGCTCAATTAGGTGACATTTTA